AGGCGCCCCCCCCTCCGGGCCCGGGGCAGACGCCCTTTAGCCGCAGAGAGCTGGCCTGAAACAGACAGGGCCCGAATAGCTCTGGCTCCAGCGCTAGGCCGGATCGCCAGGTGTGTCTTTGCAAAGCCGTGACCAGCCACACCCCTTCCGCAGAGACCTCTGGGCTAGACTGGCAGGGTGCAGCTTGGCCGTGTGCTCCCCCTTTCTCTGCACCCCCCAGAGAGATCCCACAGGGGGAGGGGGAGGGTGGGAGATGGGAGGTGGGGCTGGGTGCCTGTGTCCCCTAGACAGCAGCCAGGCTTTAGAGGGGCCTTACCAGCAGCTGTCACAATCAGGCTGACGCACAGAAGCAAACGACCCTTTTCCTCTCAGGCAAACAGCGGGCAACCTGCAGATTTGGGGGTAAAAGGGGTGGGGGCAAGGCCACTCAGCTCCGCAGCTGGACAGAAGAGCAGGAAGCTCGTGCTCTTTAACCCCCTCTTATGTGGCGCTAACCCAGCTCTGAGCCTGCTGGGGCCACGTACGCCTGCATTTCAGCACAAGGCTGTGGCCTGCATGCACCCCAGGGCTCAGACAGGGGCACCTTTACCTGCAGGGCTGAGGCTGCCCTTGCTAACACCCAGCCCACGCAGCAACGTTGAAAATACTGGGGAAAAAGTTGATCCTAGAATCCTAGAAGGGACCTCACGAGGTCATCAAGTCCAGTCCGCTGCCCCCATGGCAGGACCAAGCATCGTCTAGAGCATCCCTGACAGGTGTGTGTGCAACCTGCTCTTAAATATCCCCAGGGATGGGGATTCCACAACCTCCCTGGGCAATTTATTCCCGTGTTTAACCACCCTGACAGGCAGGAAGTTTTTTCTAATGTCCATTTAAGCCCATTGCTTCTTGTTCTATCATCAGAGACCAAGGAGAGTGCCTTTTCTCCCTCCTCCTCATAACAACCTTTTAGGCATTTGAAAGCTGTTATGTCCCCTCTCAATCTTCTCTTTTCCAGACTAAATAAACCCAGTTCTTTCAGCCTTCCCTCATCACTCATGTTCTCTAGACCTTGAATCATTTTGTTGCTCTTGTCTGGACCTTTTCCAATTTCTGCACATCTTCCCTGAAATGTGGTGCCCAGAACGGGCACACAGAGTAGCTGTGATTGCACAGAGTAAACAGTGACCGTCATCCATCCCCTTGTTTTGGTCAGTTAATACATGTCCATTGAAGAGTGGGTGGGTG